TTGTAATACTCTCAGCAAACATCTCTTGCCCATAAAGAAAATCAGTAATTCAGAACTGTTGGCAGCCTCCCACTAAGGAAAGTGTATGACGTGGGTAGGCAGCCCATATCCCAGTAACTTCATACGCTGTAAAGTTGCCTCAGCCATGAAGATTTAAATTAATGGTTTTACTTTACAAGATTTTAAACATGTATTTTATTGTAATTCAATTTCCTGTACCTTTATAGGTGGGGAAGCAAACCCAGAGAGGAGAGTTACCTTCATTAATGTCATACACATTGTCATTCGGAGAGTTAGGAATGCAACTAATGTTTCTTTAAAATAAATTAAAAAAGGAACAAAAAACAACAACCTGAAAATGCCACATTAATACTTCCTGTAATGCTCTATGTATTTCTCTTCACAGGTGACTGTAACAACTATTGGCTATGGGGATAAAGTGCCTCAGACCTGGATAGGAAAGACCATTGCATCTTGTTTTTCAGTATTCGCAATTTCATTTTTTGCACTACCTGCGGTAGGTTATCTTCTGCTTTTGCTGGCAATTTGACTCATTAGTCATCAGAGGAAACTTTTGTTATTGATTCTTTAACCCTTCATTTAACATGATGTTATGAAAGCTTTCTATTCAACTTTTATTTTGTAGTTAAAATATATGTGGCTTGTAGAAGGAAAAAAGCTTCTATAAGTAGCTAAAAAAAGTAAACATGTAGTGTTTATTGTATGCAACACTAGATATGGTACGTATTTGATAAAATGATGTTGAATTTAAAATACTTTTTCTGCCCATCTCAGAAATGTAAAGGAAATTATTTCTCATGCTAATTACTTCTGGTCTCAGTGGCTTAGTGATGTTTTGGCTTTTTAAGGCATTCACTCATAGTTTACTCAACTGATTAGGTTCAGGGTGACCTGGAAAGTTCTCATACACATCACTCTTCTCATATACATCATTCTTCTAGCAAAGTTGCAGAAAAGGTGTCACTGGCAGAGAGACAACAGTAAGCAGCCAGGGCCACTGATGCAGCTCTTTGCCAAATTAGCATCTGTCCATGGCCAAAGTCCAATTTTAAAAGCAACCTAGGGCTGAGCTTGTAAAAGTGTTATGGCACTTTGTTTGCACTGAAAACTGGTTCCCAAGTACTTTCTAACAAGAAACAAGGCACTTGAGTACCAAGGGTAAATTCAAAATTAGCAAAACCTGGACTGTGGTTTGAAAACCCAAGATGTTCAGTGCCAAGAGTACTTAAGAGTATTTTTTTTTTTTTTGCACAAATTTAACAATACTCCTGAACTATGCTGTTAAAATGTTTGTGCAACCTGAAACATGCAGTTAAAATGTTTATTTTTCAGCAAGTTTTTCACTTCAGTGACACCAACAGTTGCGTTAGCAGATGTTAGTGTAGTTGTGGCAGGGAAGCAGTGGCGATAAGTACAGGATGGATGAGAAGAATGCTTTTATACCAGTACCATCACAAAAATTCTTCACAATATGAAATAGTAACTATTAAAAGCCCAGTGGCTTTTTAAAATTAGTCATTACTTGAAAGGTCCACAACCTTTTGCGGCGGAGAGTACTTAAGTGTAGATTTTTAGACTCTTCAGCATCAGTTTGCCTTTAAAGCGTATTCTTCCCCCCCCGCCTCATTCTAACTCTTTGATCTTTACTAAATGAACATAATAGCAAGGGTCTTTCCTGTTCCTTTCAAAACACTTGATTAATACAGTTCTTAGAGGCTGAGCCATGATCATTGGCTGCTCTGACACCTCAACTACCATAGGAAGAAAATGCATTATGTTTTTATTGAGTAGATGTAGTCATGTAAGCTGATTTATAGATCATCTCATTTTTATCTGTGTTACTAAAACTTCCGTTAAATATGTGTATAGCTATGCAAATGACTACATAAATGACTTGCTCTATACTTAATTTTGGACTTAATAGTTATGCTACATTTGGAGGCTATTTTGGGTTGTACACTATCCAGTGGCGTTAGTCCTTGTCTTTTGTCCTGAGAGTGGATTAGGTGGCCTTGTGTTGAACTCACTGAAGTCCTGACCATTTTGTAATATTCCTTTTCCTCTTCTTTGTCCTCCCCTCCTACCGTGACTTAACATATGGAAACAGAAATTATCATACTACAGTTAAAAGGTCTTTCTTGTGACCTGAATCATGCCATGCCAAAACTTTATTTCTCATAAAAATGGAGTTAAGCACATCAGGTTATTATTTCTCCCTATTCTGTCGCTCCCCTGCGCAAGCATTTATGAGGCTTTTAAAGGGTATGAAATATAATTTCTGCTCACTCTTTAGCATTTGAGTCCAGCTAGCTTAAACAGGCTTTGGATCAGGGCATGATAGCATTCATAGTTGGTTTCAAAAAGTAATACTAACTGAGTCTAGCAACTTAACAGTATTAAGTCATTTCCTCTAAATAATTAGTTAGGTTTTATGATGCTGAATAGAAGTTTATTAATGCAACATAAATTGGTAAGCTTATGTGTGTTTTTTCCCTCCCTTAAAAAAAATTAAAAAATTAGATCTGTGTTTTCTTTCTTCCCATAGGGGATTCTTGGTTCAGGCTTTGCCCTAAAGGTACAACAGAAACAAAGGCAGAAGCATTTCAACCGTCAAATTCCAGCTGCTGCCTCTCTCATACAGGTACTAAGTTCCTGCATTTTGCATACTATCATTTCTTTCCATTTATAGTTTTTTTCAAAACTGTTGGCAATATTTCCATGCCTGATTCCCATTAAAAATTGTATAGGAGTTACAGATGCAAGTCTTTTAAATGGTTTTGGAAATCCCACCTTTAATGTAAACTAATGAGCAGAAAAGCTCACTCCTAAATCAGTGCAAACTGTTTAATTCCGTTGGTTAAAATCAAAACTGAAGGCTATTTTGTAGTTATTGAGCAATGTACCTGGGGAAAATGTTATTAAATACTATGCTTGCAGTAATAAAAAACAGAGAAGAGGCTTCATGTAAAATTACAATGTAAAATTTAAAAAATACTTTGTTACTTGTAAAGACAAATGTCAGATATGCTTCATTTTCCTTGGGGCAAATAAATTCTTAAAAATCTCAAATTTATAAGAATTAAGTCAGAATATTAAATAGTAAAATCTTGTATGAATTTTTCAGCTCCAGGATAGGTGGCTGGGAACCACTGGGATTCTGCAAAATCAGGGGTTTTGTTTAGGATAACATACAGGCAGAAAAATTCTGTTCCCCTCTGTTAACAATACAGTTGCAATTCAGTGTCAGTAAGGTCAATGAGATTTTATCTTTTACTTTGGTGAAGCCAGCATTTCACCCTGGAGAAGAATTAATATTGTTTCATTCTAGGTTTTTCCAGCTTTTCCTGCCTCAGTATCTGCATATAGCTTTAGAAGCACAGGAATCAAATTTAAAAGAAATCTAGATGTACACTTAAACCATATCATTTCTGTGTTCTCATATGACTTATTTCTCTAGCTTCATGAGTGAACATGGATTTCCAGGTCAGGCTCTTTATGGAAACAGTAGCTAACTGTAAAGTTTATGCTTGAAACTAAACAGTCCCAGAGTTAATGTGAAAAAGGTTTAAATTTAGGGCCCTGGTTATAGCCGGAGATTAGCCAAAAATCTTCAGACTCAGTGTGTTTCGTTTGGACTGCATGGTCAAAAAAAGGTATGGTTTTACAAAGAATGGATTTTTAGTGTTCCTACTGATTCTTTTGGGAAATCAACCCCAAATTATTGGGAGGCCTGAGACTGCATGTCCAGAATGTTGTAGTTGGCTCCATCTGAAATGTTAAGGAGGATTGGAGGATGGACAATGAGTTGCTGACTACCTGTTCTTAGTAGTGATAATTATGATTTACTAATAGTCTCAGACTTCTAATGACCCAATTTAATAAGTGCTCTACAAGTAACTTATAAGAAGATTATTCTTAAACAAGAAGTTTATGAAATAAGTACAAGACAAGACAGCAGCTGAAATGAGTGATACTTTTTTCCTGTACTCCTTGTTTTCTTCTAGAGGCCAGTTGTTTCTTTCAGTATCCTATTAACCATGGTAGGAATGAATTATATGGTGATTAATTCTGTGATTGATCCTTTGATTTCCAACTGCTGTCTGTTTTCTTCTGTCATTCTGCCTTGCTTTGTTTCTTTCATCTAATGTTTTCTGGCCTTTCCCACTTTAGATTTTGTGTATCTATATGTGTGTCCTTTTTTTCATGTAGTTTGTAAGTGAGGATTTTTAATTTGGAGACTAATTATTAATCAACTCTGATATATTTACACGTTTAGGAGAGAATGTAGTGGTGTTTTGTCTCTGGTTGGTCTTGTTTCCTAGCCCTGCTTTTTTTCCTGTTTGTCTTAGTACTTTAATCATTGGTGGTTGGCAGAAGGGAGGATTGGGTTTGGGTTTTGGCTCCTGGTTAACCACTGGTGCTGCTCCCTCATGCTGTCAGGCTTATTTCTTCATATGAATATGGTCCTACTAACCACACCACAATTGCTTTTTTCTTTTTCTGAGAGTACTCTTGTGAGGCAGGGAAGAACAATTTTTGTTAGGAGCCTGAAACACAGGATCCAATAGGCAAAATGCTCAGAGGGGGAAACTGGGGCAGAGCAAGAAATTTAACCCCAATCTTTTGAGTCCAGTCTAGAACTCTCTCTTACTATTTCTTTGTTGCTAATGCGAACAAAAGTTGCACTTGAGAGGACATCTTCCTTTCTGGTTTGCCCAGTTCAAACTATGTAGTTTCTGTTTACTAAATAAGGATTCTAAACATGCTGAGTTTGTTTCCAATGAGAATATTCAAGAATCCTGTTAAATAAAGAATGACTAACACACTAATTTGAAGTTACTTTATAGTACAGATAGCTACAAGTCCGATTGCATTAATTGTTCTGTGGCTTAAAAACATTTGTTCTAGACTGCATGGAGATGCTATGCAGCAGAAAACCCAGACTCTTCTACATGGAAAATATACATTCGAAAACCTGCCAGAAATTATCATTTGCTGTCACCCAGTCCAAAACCGAAGAAATCTGTGATGGTACCAGTATCTAACACTTCCTATTACAGTAATTTAAAATTTTTAAATTAGATAGAATTTGTTCACTCTCTAGAGGCTATTTGTTGTGTTTGTTTTACAGATTATTACTTTGTTTCGAAGTTTCATTTTCACTTCAGTTTTGAGATTTTCAGTATACAGACATTTTAAATTATAACTTAATTTGCTTCAGTTCCCAGGCTTGACTTTTTTAGTGGATCTATGGGTTTGGAAAAGAGTAATAATGACCTAACTCAGGCATATCAATCAGTAACTTACTGTTGTTGTTTGGAAAACTATAAGCAAAGGAAAAAAAGAAAATTACTATTTTCAAAACAGCAACTTTTAATTGTTTTGAGTTTTGTTTGGGTTTTGGGAGGTTTTTGTTTGGTTTTTTTTTTTTTTTTTTTAAACACCAACAAAACTGCTGCTTGTCTCAGATATTGATTTTGTGGCTTTCTAAACTATGGTGAAGACATCCTGTGCCTACATACAGTAGTATTTTCATATCAACGGATTCCATAAGTTAAGAATTTTTTGTTTAAAAAACAGCAACAAAACCCCTTTGTCAGAATCTTTAGATTACATAATATTTCATCCTCTCTATTGTAAGAGTATTGCACAGTACTCTCAAGTTGGATGGAGAGGCTGTTGTGCAAAAATCTTCCCTAGTATCCCAGGTTCATCTGAGTTCTGTAGCAATATATCTGTTTTCTTTTTGCTGAAGGTATGATTTATTGTATCCATGTAGTGGTAATGATGTTCTAGAATAGGTTGATTTATTTAAACTGTTGCAGAGCTAGCAGACTTTTTTACTGCAGGCAAGAGATTTGCTAATGACAATGTGCAGAATTCTAGTGATTAGCCAGTTTTGGTGGGATGGGGGCGATCTTACTGAGAAACGCAGAGTGTAGCATTGTGAAAATGTAATTGGTCAGGCACTCTTTTGACTCGTAGCTCATTGGGGACTGCATTATTATTGAAGACATTACTGAAGAGAGAGCTAAATGTACTCAAACCAAGTCAATTTAATGTATGTGTATTTTTAGGTTAAAAAGAAGAAATTTAAGTTAGACAAGGACAATGGACCTTCTTCTCCAGATAGGATGTTAACTGTTCCACATATCACTTATGACCACGTGATGGAGGACAGGAAACCTGATTTCAGTTTTGAACCATATGAAAATTCTGGTAAGAAATTCCATTATAAAATGCCAGTAACTGTAATGACTTCTATTAGTGATTTACACACAGGTCCTCTTTACTATCTGTAGGGGAGAGGATGAGGACACAACAAGCTTTTGTCATTCTAAAGCAAGAATACTTTGCTTTTTGACTTTGCTTGCTGGCTTCTCTGGATGAGATTCAACTATTCTTTTAATAAGCATGCTCCACTGCAGACAAACTGAGATTATTTGTCATTTCTACCTGCCAGAAGAGCTACTGTCTCTGAGGCTAGTGGATACATTCCCCAGTACTGCAACTTATTGAAACCACAAGGATTAGCTGTCTGCTTTTCAGTGTGACATTTACCCAAGATGTGTTACTATTGTGCTTGTACGTCAACCAAAAAGGGTTGACATGTCTTGGCTGCACTGAATGTAGTCTGGTACATGAAACCATCGTGTGCTCCTGCCATCTGCTCAGTGGAGTAGGCTGTGAATCAAATTTTGAAAGCAGAAGTACTTAAGATGAATGTGGATCCGTCTGTATTAACTGTGACTGTACAAAATGGTACTGTATGAGGAAAAAGAAGAAAGAACTTTAATAGTCACCTTATAATTAATAGCTTAGTTATAGTTGCATTAGCTGTAATGAACTTCCAAAATGACTCTGAATTTACAATGTGGCTTTTTTACAAATGTACTTTTATTAGAAGTTCTTACTGTGCATTGCTCAAATTTTGGCAGCGAGAATGAGGTTTGAGTTTTAAGGTTTGTTTTATTGATTATAGATACCTTAAGTACTTATGTTTTTTCTCCTAACAAGAATTTGGCTGACCTGATTAAATTTAGTGACCTTTAAAATCAGATAGCAATGTGGGCTGGCACCAGGCGTATTTTAATTCAAGCAGAAAGTCTCACCTTCCATGCACTTTTTTGGTACGCCTCTGTCTTGTCTTGTTCTGTAACATCCACGCTTTTCCACTCCTTCTTGGCCTCTGTTCAGGAATGATTGCGAATTGCATCTGGTGGTAGAAATTACACAGCTGTTAAAAGGTGGACAAGTAATAAGTTAGTCTGTGTCTCAGGCTTTGAGGACAGATACCTTTTTTCAAAACAGTCCAATGAATGAACTGTACAAATGCTTAGATTTGTGAAGTCCCACCTTTTATCACTCACTAAGTTTCTAAGTTGATTAAAGGACAATATGATTTGCAGGCAGCCTACTACTGCCACTTCAAAAATCATCTCTATAGCTTTTAATAAAAGGATTTTCTCTAATTTCTTCTGACACTTATCTTTTTTTCTTTTTTATCTGTGTTCTGCTCTCTCTAAACTGTTACAAGTATACAGGACAAACAGGAATGTTAAAATTGCTTGGTAAGTTGAGGAAAACAATTCTGTCTATGGCATGCCAGCTTATGACAATGTAATGTTTGCAGTGCTTTTCATGTGTGTCTAGTGCCATATAGTTTGTAAGAAATCTTTTGCAGCCAGGGACATCTAGACAGACAAAAATGTGCATTGTCACACTTGTAATCACAATTGCACCCACAGTTTCGTTACAAAAAGAAAAGTGAGCACTCATTTTTTTGTATAAGTAGATGATCTCTGGTTTTTTATAATTGAGAAAAATTGCTCCTGTGTATATAACCAATAGAAAAATATAATCTGCATATAAATAAAATATAATTCATCTAGTAGTTATCTGAACATATAGCTGAGAATTAATTTCTAAACAAATAGATTGAAACGGAAGAAAAATTTCCAAATTTGACCTCCAGTGTTGTGTATTCTGAAGTACATGCATCTGTTCCTGTAAAAATGCTCTGTAGATGTTTGTGAACAGATAGGGACCCATAAATTAAATAATTTATTTTACTGTTTGTCTGGATTCTGTGATCACTTAAGCAGCCATGTAGTCCTGCGATGTTTCTAATGTGCTTGCTTAGGTACTTTCTTAACAACTGAGTGTTCCCCAAAGACTCCAGGATTAGAGCTAGGTCTGGGCACAAAACCTCTGTGATTTAGTGAGAGTGCTGTGAGCCACCTGTAAGTTGTCTGCTCCGCAGCCACTACAGACAATAGAGGCTTCTTTTCAGTAATTGAGTGCATGGATGCTCCGACTTAAATTGTCTGAAAATACAAGGTTCAGTTTCTCCTCTGAATCTGTGTGGAACACAGGTGCAATTAAGGTGCTAAAATAGCAGAAAAACTGAATCTCCTTGACTCCCTCTGACCAATCCTTGATTTACCCATTTTCCGGTTTCCACTTTTCTCCTGTAAAAGAGGGGTTAGCATGGCGGAACAAGTTCAGGAGAGCAGCAAGAGCCATGAAGGCAACTGTTTTACATGAACAAGAAATTTCTTCATCCTGGGGAAATATCAGAGGAGCTTTGCCAGCCACCATAGGTTCAGTTTCTATTTCTTAGCCAGGCAGCTGAGAGGTTACCTAACACTGCTCTCACAGTGACTTGAAGAAATAAAGAGGAAAGAGGAGTGTATTTGTACTTACTGTGAATAAGATTACCTACACAGAAAACTGAAGCTGCCAAGTCAAAAGCTCAGAAACAAGAAATTAGGAAGTTCAAGAATAAAGGATGCTCATTCAGCTTTAATGTGGTCCTCAGAAAGCCTGTAGTCACATATCCATATGCCGCTTTCTCATATTCAGTAAATTCTGGTTCTGTCTTTGGGCTGCCCACTTACATTCAAGTCTTCATGCTCCTGGATCCCCTTCTGGCTTCCCTGCCAGTATTCTTGTGCAACCAGAGATTTCCACCTTCTTATCTCCTCTCAAAGACCCAAGAGCCAAGGCTAGAGCATACCTAGCAGTGACAGAACGCTTGCAAAATATTTTGAGAGTTTTTCTCTTTGCATAAAAGATAACACTTCTGAAAAATATCACTCTTTCCTAGGGTGCGAGTGCACAGGCATTTCTTAATAATGAAATAGTTATTAAAAGGATAACACTATTCAAAAGAATGAAACATAGCGTAAACGTTATGTTTTGCTGAGTCTCTTTCTCATCATTGACTCCTCTTGCTTGCCTGAAACTTTTCCCCAAGAAATTCACCTTGAGGCAGGCACTTGGCTTAAATGGTTGAAGTGGGCAGCTTCAAATGCTTTTAATGGGATGTGTCAGGCATCTTCAAACGTGGGTGGCAGTACTGGTCTGTCCACTTGATAGCACTGAAATTTGACCAGGAGCTAGCTACACTGTGAAGGGTATGAGCCAGAATAAGAAGGGTCTGACCCGTATGAGGTTGTACACTTTGCAAAGGGAAACACTTGAGGAAACCCTAAAGTCAGGAAGGAAGGGGCAAACACACAGATTACTTTCCTCAAAATGGGACTGGCATGTAGGGAGCAATACCTTGCAGCAGGTGACAGTGTCATGAAGAATGGGTTTGAAGAGACACGATGCCTCCCCTGGTGGTGGTTTAATGTTCTGCTAACATGTAATACATGCTAGAAGTTTCATACAAACTCTTTTCCACGGTATTTTTTATTTTGGTTTTAAAGATGTCAGGTACAATATTCTGTATTTTAGGTATGTCTGCATCTCCTCAGCTGCCTGTCTGGACCTTTTTTCTTTTTTTTTTTTTTTTCCCCTCCCATCTCCTATCTCTTTGTTTTATGTGCATCTTTACTCTGACTCAGATTGTCAGCGCTCCTGGCCATCCTTTTCCACAGACCAGCAGTCTTCCAGCGCTCCTTCCTCTCCAGGTAAAGCTCATAATAATTCATTGCTCCATCACCTTTGTTAATTACTAAGTCTTTCCAATGCTCGTCTGGAGTTGCCTGAAGTGGCACAGAAAATTATAGTGCTGGTTTTTAAAGAAAGCATAGGCATGTCAGTAGAATTTTGAGTTTGGAAAGTTTTTCAGGTTGTAAATTGCAAATGTTTAAATAATAAAAAAAAATATTCTGTAGAACAGAGGTATTTTATAAATGCATTAATGAAAACTCAGATTTTCCATGAAAAATGCTTTGAAGTGTTTTAAATTTTGTCTGTGATTGCAAAAGAGAAAGTGTAAACTATTCTCTGTCTTGCTAGCCAAATACCCCACTACCAGAAAAGCAACTGCATACATGTCATATTATATACAAAATTGTTGTGTTTCTGTAGATATATAGAAAACCCACCAGCAATTTCTTGTTACTGTGATTGTAATCCTCGATTGAAAGTTCATAGAATCATAGAATTGTTTGGGTTGAAAGGGACCTTTAAAAGTCATCTAGTCATGCAATGGGCAGGGACATCTTCAACTAGCTCAGGTAGCTCAAAGCCCCATCCAACCTGACCTTGAATGTTTCCAGAAAGTTCAGAATTTCTGTTTCAAAGCAGGAGTTCTCATATTGTGGGGAGTATATTTGCTGCCATTTCAAAGTAGTACTTGGCTCGGCTTTATCAGTTGGATACTCATGCCTCTTACCATAGTTGCTGCTGCTACCCATCAAAAATAGAGAAAATAAAGCTTGGGAACCCCTGAATTATAGTAAATATCCCTCACTACATCTGTTTCCTGTTTCTTTTCATTCATTATTATCCATTGAAAATGAGTTTCTAAAGCTTCCTTTTTTTTCCTTTAGCCTACTGATTTAGAAATTTAGTGTCTTTTTTTAACATACTTCTTTTTAAACACTGCTTTGTGGGAAAGACTCCTCCAAAGTCAAATGGCTATGAATTTATTTTTATAAATAAAAAAAATATGCTGTGGCAGCATATGCTCCCTAGTGCTCTGCTTGAGTCTTTGTCGTGGTTTAACCCCAGCCGGCAACTAAGCATTGCGCAGCCGCTTGCTCACTCCTACCCCCACCCCTCCCCTAGCGG